TATGTTCGATGCAACTCTTTCCCCAATAGCCTCTTCAGAGGGCAAACTGAAATTGATGGATCAGTTAATACACTGTGACAATCGTGGCTTATTGTGTGTGTGTGTGTGTGTGATAAGTGAAGGTGCTTTCCAAGGGTGCAAAGATGATAATAAAGATGATGACGACGACACTAATAGCAAGGGTGACATTTGCTGAAATGTATCTGCTAGAAATAGTATAACATATTTAGCTTCAGGGAAAGGAACCCATTTTCCCCCTTGCCTTCTCCTTCTCTAGGTGCGATCCGTCCGCCTGTGTCTTCCTCAAAGTTCAGCATTTTGCAGAACACCATTCCGTTTCAGCAGAGAAGAAAAAGGATTTGGGAACATTTAGTAGCTGGGAGAAAATGAAATAGAGGATGTGGTGGAAAATTCTCCCACAATATTTTGCTTTCCCAAGGTTTCTTTCAAGGGTCTCCCCGCTGAGAGTCTCGTTTGCGAAAAGAGAAGCCTGATTTTCTCTTCTGCATTTAGCTCGGCTGCCTGGGAAGGTGAACTTGGCCGCGGCCATTCTCAAAACCAAGAGCCCTTTTGAAGGCAAGCGAACTTATTTTGGGAAATGCAAGATGGCTAAGGAACGAGAAACAAAGCCTGGCCGAGGTTTTTGAGAGGGTGCTTTGGGGAGCGATGGCCCCAAGAGGTCCCCTCCAAGAAATGCTTGAGTATTTCTAATGAGCCGATGCGTTGAGACTCAATGCAATATCATTCTAATTATAAGATGATGATGATGATGATGATGATGATGATGATGATGATGATGATGGTCAATATTTGGGGCTTTCCTAATACAGCTTCTGTTTATGGAGTGATTGACTTCAACCAACCTTTCCTCCCCTCTCCCCAAAATGAAGGAAAACCTGTGACTTTGACTAGGATGCGGTGAGAAGGAAAAAAAGTGAGTCGGGGTTCCCACGAAGCTGCTGCTCTGAAACAGTTCAGCCACCAGAGCCCAAAGCTATACCAGTTGAATCTCTGCCTGGCAGGCTGAGGTTCAAAACTGAGGGCCTTTAGAGGCAATTTTAGAAGCGCGGTGCTCCTTCCCTCTCGACTCCTTTCTGGTAGATTTAAGCATCTGGGGAGCTTTTACGTTTGGGGAAGGCAAAAGAGTGAACAAATACAACTACACGGGGAAGAGAGGGGAAATAAAGGTGCAATTGGCTTGGAAAAGCAAAGAATCTTGCCACGACGGCCAAGAAACCACCTCCATCTATTTATTAATGGCAGAGATTCCTCTTATTGTATATTAATTCTTAATGCTTAAGGCAGAGGAGGGATGAGGAACCCCTTTGTCGTTAGTTTTTTTTCAATTTTTTATTTTTTAAATTTATTGGCCGCCCAACTTGTGGAGGCAATTTTCTTGGGCTTCGTGGCAACTCGGCTGCTGGCAAGCCAGCTGGAAAAAGAAACCTTTTGTTTCGCTGCTCTTGTCGTTTTTAACCCTTGCCAGAGTTCAAGGCTGCAAGTCGCTGCCGCCACCATTTGCAGGAATGGACCCCCAATTGAGGTGGAGGGTCGGGCGACCTCCAGCTGACAATCCTGCCCTTCCTGGATGATTTCCAGGATCTGAGCTTGCATGCCTGAAATATTAGCGGCAGGGGAGGCCTGGCCTGGCCATGGGTGAGCTTTCGGGGTGTCCATGGCTGGCCGGCCACTGGCGGCTGCCCCGAGCCCCAGGCCAGCTCCGACATGGGTTAACTGAGGCCAAGTTCTTCACACGGCCATCCCGGTTAACTGAATCTCTGATTCTGTTCATGGACTGAAATTGTCTCGATTCGGAGTGTACTCCTATTGGCATGTCCTGGAGAGTAAGTTGCACTGAACCCGAGAGAGAACACTGATGAATGGATGTTCAGTTCGAGTGCCCACTGCCTTTTGGCCAGGGTTCTCCAGAGTGGTCAATATTGACCCCAAGGGTCGATGAGACTATCAAGGGGTCGATGCCTATCCCAGGTCCTTGGGAAGGACTTGATAGGTGGATGAAAATGCCAAATCCAGTCTTTACTATTAGTAGTAGTACAGTACTATTAGTTGTAGTATTTATTAAATTATTTTCGTATAATAAAGGTTCAGGAGTTGATGAACCAGCTGAAACTTCATGAAGGGTTCGATGAGCTGAAAAGTCTGGGGGCTCCTGCCTTAGACCTATGTTTCACCCGCTCCGAATTTCGCTGATACTGACCTCCCCCCTCCCCAGCTTAAACCAGACCAGCGCTCCAGTTCGAAGCCGATCCCATGAGAAATCCCTTCTTTTCCGAAGCGGCCCCACCATCTACGCAGAAACAAAATCCGCCTAATTTAGCGCCGCCGCCGCCGCCGCTTCTCGGTGGGCAGAAACAGGATCGCGCTTGAACGGTCCGTGGGAGCAGCGAATGTTTGAAAGCCCCCTTCAGCCTGGTTTTAGCGACCAAGGAAAATGGGCTTGCTTGTTTTAGTCTTATTAGCCGTAATAATAAATAATAGGCGAGAGTTTGTTACGGTCGCCGTCTTAGAAAGGAGAAAGGAAGAGGATCTTGGAGCGCATTTTTTCCCCTCAGCCTTTGGCCAGAGGCCATTACAGTCCTGAGTTGTCACCCCATTTCACGGGGGCAGCTCCTCCGGCACCCTCAAGGCTTGTAGCCCTCCCCTGTTTCGCAATGCGAATTCAATTCTTTTGGGAAGAGAAACGCAAAGCAACCCGCGGCACGCTGCGAATTTGGGCGCTGAAAGCGAAGTGTGGTCGGCTGCGATATTTGTCGATCCTGCTTCGGTGACAAGGAGAGGCCCACATCTGGTTCGAGCACCTTTGGGGATTTCTTGAAACTGAAAAGCTGCGTTCAGCTGGGTCACTTTCAAGAGATCTGCAGGTTGCGGTCCAGGCTGTGGAAGTAAGAAACCCGAGCAGAGAGAGAGGCGCCGTTCTTCGGCTCGATCCCTCACAGAATTTCCATCCCTTCCCTTCTGGCTTTTACTAAGACCCCTAAAGCAAAATCCACTTAGTACACAAACTTATTTTGGGTTATCAAAATTAACCCATTGTCTGGGGCCTCACCGCGCATTGCACACTAAACGAACCAAAGGGGCTGCGTGTTGTGCACCCCGCAGCTGATAAATGATCTGGGGAAGTGCGTTGTTCGAACACAACCAGTGGGAACACACTCTTGAGTAAGCTCAAGTAGAATGGCTGCACTGAGTTGGGGGGAAAAAAAATCATTAATCCATCGAAGTATTCATGTGAATATTCCCTAAGAAACTGATGGGGATGACCTCCCCGCAACTAAGCCTTCTCCTCAAATCAAAATACACAAAATCTCTCTCTTTGGTGCCAGGGAAAAATTTTAAAATATTTGTTCCAGATTTCATCTTAGGCACAGCATTTGTGTATCTCTCGGTTAAACTTTCAGAAGTAAACCCAAGTCTGGCTCAGGAAAGTCTAATCTCTAAGAGAAACGCTTATATTTTCGGCCAACTGAAGCTCCAAATTGATCTCCAGACGGATTATTAGTCGTCTGAGTATTTGGGGAGATGGTATCTGTTTAAAAATAAAATTTCCCACCAGTTGATTTAACCAGTCGACTTAAATCTACTTTCTTGCAGGGGGAAAAATTAGTGACAATTTTGATGCATAGGACTGCTGTA